TATATATATATATATATATATATATATATACAAGCAAGTTTACACGATGACATTGAGATGCCTGTATATATAACGAACGTTCTTGCTGTTGACAATGGTAAATTTGATGACGGTCACGCTGAAGATGGCGATGACAACTAGAGCGTTGGTGATGATAATGATGATGATTCGGATGATTCGGATGATGATGATGATGATGACCACCTCTGTGGTCGCGATGGTCAGGTGAATGGGACGAGATCTCTTCAGGCAGATGTGTAGATAGTGGCCAGCTCATGTCATATGGGATTACCTTATGTGGGCCATTCGATGGCGGCATGTAATCAACGATCTATTGTTTCGATGACTCCATCAAACTTGTCTACTCGCTCTTGACCTACAGATGCATTATTTCTTTCTATTCCTACACAGTTTGGCAGCTGGACAATCTGTTATCGATATATGCTCCACTGTGTGAGTCAGAGTTTAAATCAGATATCGTGGATATCAGCCCATTAATATGTGTAAGAATATATTGTGCCTGCCTCATTCTCTTGGGACAAATTCATTTGCCTCCAAAATTTGCAACACAATTATTCAAACAGATCGTCGGTCTATCAGTTGATCACTTCATTTCCCTTGGTATTTTGAGACAGTTAGGATATTCGTTGTGTCCATGAGTTGGGGAAGCGCCAAACAATGCACAAGGTAAGGCCATGTTGTACTGTCGTGCCGGATCTAGTTTCGAACCTAACAGCGAGCTGGAGGCACGGAGCTGGGCACTTAAAGAGAGTGATCGTGGTAGGACAAAGAATGCAGACTGTGAATCAAACGGCTGACCCGGGATGTTTAGAAGTGTGATTTTCAGTGAGGTTTTACGGCACCACAAACTGTTTTTCATGCCCATATTACGCAAGTGGAATCTCCCATAACGTAGGATGCTTTTCTGTGTATTCAATTTAGTAAATAGAAGCCATGGTCATATAACCAGCTCATGCGAGCGGTGTAGACGATGTTTCACGGAACAACAAACTGAAGTTATCATGCATGTGGAATTTCTCATGACGTAGGCTATATTCCTCTGAATTCACCTGAGTGCACGAGATCTCTGCTCAAATGGCAATCGTGGGTGCGCATCTGAACCCTGCATGGACAAAGAGGCTTGGAGCTATTGATTGGAATAATCAGTGGCAAGTAAATATTTATATCCCCCCAAAAGTAGTTAACATGACTACCTGGCTAATTTCATTTTACTCTCGATTCGCAAAGAGAACAGTTCAGCTACCTAATTAAGGGACATTCAACAACTATTGAATCTTCTACACCACAATATGTACACCATTATATATATATATATGTATTTATACTAGCTTTCTCATGCTACATGTCAGCGTGTACCCGGAATGAATGGTGCGGCATGTGGAGTTTACATGCATTTAAATAGCCCACCACTGTTTCCACACTCCTCTTCTCAACAGCCACGGATGCTGACAAAGTGTATGAGAGGAAAGGAAGCCGGACGATCTCAGATACAGTTGGCGTCCGAGCAGGAATAAGTAAGAATGCTCGCCCAAGTGCATCGAAAACTGCCGAAATTTCATTTCTGCATGCGAGATCGCCAGGAAACTCATCTCGTCCGGTGGAGCCAATTAGTCAAACCTTGGCTTATAAATGCCCGGTATGTGGACGGGAATTTAAGCACCAATCGTGCTTCATAAGGCACCAGCAATCTCACACCAGCCGCCAAGATTTCAAATGCAATATGTGTTCAAGCGCCTACAAGTATTCATCTAAACTTCGTGAACACATGAGGAAAAAACACGCAGACAACTCTCTTCCGCTTAGGAAGTCAACTAGGGCACAAATGTATGCATCGGAGCAGGCAGGACATCCATGTCCTAAATGCGGAAAGCACTTCAAAAGTTGGGCAGGTCTGAAAAAACATCGAAGAGCCATACATCCTGAAGGAGTGCGCCATGTTTGTGAAAAGTGTGTTGAGACTTTCCCACGTGAGCT